GGGAATAGAATTCAGGTCACTTTCATGATAAGTTAAAATGGGAAGGAGGGGGGAAACAAAAACAAAAAAACATCCTCCAGAGGAAAGTTCTGGGGCGTACGACAAGCAAAAGAAAGAGCCCGGAGTCCACAAAACAAAGTCATTATAAAACTCCCAACGTCAGGTCCGCCTATTGCTCATTTGGGTTCGGGTTGGCATCTGGGTAACTGGTAAGGTCGAAGGTCAGTACTTTGCTGATCACACAGTCACCTTGCTGCAAAAGACAAGAAAAAAAAAATGATACATGTTTATAAAATCGATTAAATTAGGGATTCCATACAAGTTAATTCCCCAAATAAATTCCCAATATAAAGTTAAACACAGGAGTAAAAAATGACTAAGCGAGATACGTCCGGCCATTGCATGTTAAAGCTGAACTCCAGAGTATCCAATAGGGAAGGAGCCATTGCTGTGACTTGCTTGTGCGTACACGTTTTAGCTTGAGCTACTGAGCTTTGCAATCAATATGCTGTATGTAAGTGAAAAGGAGCAATGGAAAAAAAAGATAAGCGCCACCTGCTGGCTGGAAAGAAGACTGGAATTCAGGTAAAATATATAAAGCCATTCTAACGCTGCTGTTCTTTTGTTTGCTTTGGAAGTGGCTGGAGGTTAGAACCCCTCTCAGGTTTTTATTGCCGTCTATGTCTCCTCTTGGGAGATTCACTCCGTTTGTCCTGGTGACAACTCAAAGGGATCGGAAAATCCAAAATGTTGAGTTGTAACCAGAACTGGACTAGAAATAGAATCCTCCAATGGGGACACCTGTTCCGGGGACAACTAAGGAAAGGTTTCCCTCATTTTGGAGGGATTTCAGCTTACTTCCTGTTGTGTGTAAAAGGTGGCCATACACTTTACTACCATCGCAAGACTTTTGCCTAGCGATGGTTGTAAAGCAATTTTAAAAAAACGTACGGTCTGCCCTCGACCGTACAGTAGAAACGGTCGCACGCCTTCCATACACTTTGCGATTATCGCACGATTGCGGGATTTCCTGCGATTATCGTACGATTGCGGGATTTCCTGCGATTATCGCACAGTGTATGGGCACCTTAAGGGACAGTATATGAAGGGAAATCTCTGGCAAGCAAAAAAAAAAAAATCCGACATGTGGCAACCCTTCCCTTTATATATACTTTAGAGCAGGGACGGACAAATTAACTTTCTCGGCTCTCTCCCCCTCGGCTCTCTCTCCTCTCGTCTCTCTCTCCTCTCGTCTCTCTCTCCTCTCGTCTCTCTCTCCTCTCGTCTCTCTCTCCTCTCGTCTCTCTCTCCTCTCGTCTCTCTCTCCTCTCGTCTCTCTCTCCTCTCGTCTCTCTCTCCTCTCGTCTCTCTCTCCTCTCGTCTCTCTC